GGCACTGTTGTTCTTTGTCATCTTTTAAGTAAATACATATTTGAAACATTTTACATTTCTTATCGCTCGTGTGCTCTTCTCACATTCCTCTTGCCTAAAATTTATTTTCTACTCGCCATACATAGTATCTACATACGTACATATGTGTTAAATATATGCATATGTAAATTCATACCCACATATAAATTTTGAAAATGCCTTCATAAAGCGCTATAAATTTCTTCTCCCGTTTACAGTAGAGCGCACAAGCAAATGTACTACAGTCTTCGAACTAAATATACACATACCTGTATACATATATATATATATGTGTGTATAAAACTTTTTCTAACAAAAAAAACAAAAAGCAACTTCGACTGCACCGGAGTCATAATGCCCAGCTATGTATATGCTATATTGGTCTGATCTGAATTTTCATCAGTCAAGTTTTTCAGAGATTGTAGCGTTGTTTTCGGCAATAGTCTATGCCAAATTTTGTGAAGATACCTTAATAAAAAAAAAAAAGGTTTCCATACAGGGACTTGAGTTTGATCGATCAGTTTTAATGGCTGCTATATCCTATACTGGTCTGATAGCGGCAGTTCCGGCAAATGAGCAGCTTATTGACGAGAAATGAACGTGTGCAAAATTGCACATTTTATTTCGATGTCTTACAAACTGAGACAACAGTTTAACTATATACAGACAAACAGACAGACGGAAATGGCTAAATCAACTCAGCTCATCACGCTGATTATACCTTATGGGGGACCCCAACGTTTAATTATGGGTGTTACAAACTTAATTTACCTTGTTCAGGGTATAAAAAGCACAAAAGGTAGCATTTCTAGCTTGCTTTATTGATATTTTTTTTTTGTTAAAGTAAAACTACTCCTTAAAGTTCAACTATATCTGCCTTGAGTTTTAGTAAGCACGAATAGAGTTTAAGCAGTATGAAATCTTCAAGGAATTTTTCTTTATTTATTTGAAGTAGATGATGTAATATTAATATTCGTAAACTAAATTCTAATTCATATGTACATATGCAGGTGAGTTTAGACGAGTAAAATATAGTAAAAAAAAAATTATTTATAAGCTTATATCAAAAACAACTGATAAACTTGTAAAGATTTCAATTCGACTTTGATCAAAATGGTTTTTTTTATAAATTAAACGATTATTAAATATTTCTAGTATATTGAAATAGTAGATATTAAAAGCAAGGTGCAATAGATGAACTTAATACAATTAAAAAAACGCAATTACAACAGTTTAACAAAAAATTGACTTTTAAGAATTATAAAATAATTAGAAAATAATAATAAGTTACACTACTCATCGGAAATAGCACACATGGAGATTCAAGTATCAAAATATAAAATTAGTTCGCAAAATTTCTAAAAGTGTTTCCACCACATGCCCTTTGCAACAATTGTATTTACAATTGAAATTCCTTATGCATTTTATAAAATATCTTTAACCGTTTACTTTTGCTCTACAGTGTACTTGGTCGGTTTATTTTGTCAATTCATATGTGCCACTTTCGGCATTTTCACTCTCACTCTCGCTCTCGCGTTAATCGCTTCGTATCATATGTATGTAAGTATGTACGTACATATCTATATAAGTATGGTTGATCGTATCCCCCATTAACATTTGCTTGCACGCGATCGAAATGAATTTCGTATTTCTATTGTATATTTGTCACAACTGCCGAACATTGTATATCAGCGGGATATTGTTGCTACCCCGCTGTTTATATTACTGTTGGGTTTTGCTCTTATGCCATTCAAAGTACACGCGGTTGCAATTCTCCAAAGCACTTGGTGCCAACGGCATAACTGCTGCTTAAATTTTCTGTTTGCCTAATAACGGCGTGGATCAATTTATCGATTTCACGTTTTACGAATCATGATCATCAACCGCCTCACGATCAACCAACATGAATGCTATTGTTGTTTTTGTTAAGCAGAAAAGAGCATATCGTCGACAGTTAAACATGCGATTTCAATAACAATCGAGAGAATACAAGCTATACGCTTTTCAGGCGATAATTAAAATGGAATGACTTCGATTAAATTTGCAGTAATAAAAGTAAAAAAAAATTAATCAAATAATGTAAAAAAAATATTTGTAGAGATATTGCATTTGAGGCAATGTGCTATTATAACTATAATTTAGTATAATTTCTTCTCCTCGTTTGTTTTTTCCCGTTGATTGTTGCTCTCCATTTCTTTTGGTAAAATGTTCACCACTCTGAGCACTTTACAATGTAAGTATAATTTAATCTTCACAATACGTGTATCCCGTTTTAAGAATCGCCTTCATACCAACTACAATTGTTGTCAGGTGATCACTTATGATTTTATGTTAATTAAGTTGTTCGAAAATATTACGATATATAATTTTTCTTAAACAAGAGATTTTGAGATTTGTCTTTTCGGACAAATCTTAGAATTGACTTGCCTTTGCGATATTTTGTTTAGTTTTATTAACAATATTTTAATTTTTTTATTTTGGTTTGAGTGAAATCTAAATGTTTTTTATATTTATTTACTATCTCGTATTAAAATGTGTTCTTTGTCACGACTCTGTTATAAGCAGAGTGGCGCAGTGGAAGCGTGCTGGGCCCATAACCCAGAGGTCCGAGGATCGAAACCTTGCTCTGCTATCTGAGGTGAAAGCAAAAAGCAATGCTTTCTTTTTACAATAATTGTACCAGTGTGTATTAATTCAAAAGTCTGAAAATACTAAATGAATATTATTTATAGTGTGGTGTCATTTATTCCACGTACTTAAGCGACATAAAGAATTACTTAAGATATACTTTATTTGTATGCGATCTGAGTGCTATTCGTTAACTACATGCCTTATAAATACTTGCTGATTTGTAATGAAATTCAACTCTAGAAAAAATGTATTTATCTTCAATGCCTTGAACTAACTATAAATATTTATTTTAGCTTTAATATTATTATTTTTTATCGTTCTTCATTTGCATTTGTATTTAATATACATTAATTTTAGGCATTCCTTTAACCTTTGCGTCACCCTGTTATTTATGGATGCCGTGTTTAAAATATTCTGTTTTATTGTTTCTTTTTCCATATTAGTAACATGCTGTGGTTGCGTTCGTATGATACATTTGACAACAATTAAGAGGAAGCAGAGTGGCGCAGTGGAAGCGTGCTGGGCCCATAACCCAGAGGTCCGAGGATCGAAACCTTGCTCTGCTAT